AACCTGCATTTTAAAAGATGATGGATTCACAACTTCGAAAGAATTGCTCGGTACCGAAAGGCCAACCTGGAAATACATCTCCCATTTAAATTTCATTTTATGAATTACTAGCTTTCAAGATACTTCACTTGATTATTTGGCTTTAGTCGTTACTCATTTCTTTTCACTACGAAAATATCTCACACTTGTCCCAGCAATATTTACCTCCCTCATTCATAATTAAATCCTTGCTATGACTCTTAGCATACATTCATTTTGTACATTCTGATTAGGGATAAAGGAATAAGAACCAAAGAAAAGTCTTACCTTATTTAAAAAGCGTTCCCTGTTGAGTACAGCAATTCCATTTAAGACAAGTAAACCTGCTTCTAGCAAACCATAAAATGAAATAACCATGCTTACTCACTTCAAACCACAACGGAACTTCAGCGCCAAGTTCGACTGTAAATGTAAATAGGATCTCTCAACACGACTATCATTTCAAGCTTCATATAAAAGTTGAAATTTATCCCTAACAATAATTCCTTCCTCAATTGCCTACTTCCTTCCTCAATTGCCTACTCGAGGTAGGATTAACCATCCTATTTAACTATTATGAAAATTGACCAACTTCCTCTCAAAATAAAAAACTATTGCCAGTTACATCAAACTGCGCAAATCTAACACCGAATCCACACCCCACATCCGTTACAGCCTATATCCCTTTCATTTGATTAGCTAATAAATTAAGCATATTATAAGTAGAAGAAAATAACAATAATCGAATGTTTATAAAAAAAGAAAATAATTGAATCCTATAAAAAACATCAATAATCGAATGATAAAATACATATTCTGTCTATACTAATCAAATAATTTTGAGACCAATAACAACTATCCTTCATTTTTATCTATGCCTTTATATTATATTCAGTGATAATATCATAGAAGTTAATAAATATTCCAATATTACTGAAATACTATGAATACTAGTACTATGGACATTAATCTGAGTCCAATTTTTATCGTGCAATGAAATTTGATGCTGAACATGCATAGGACAACGTTTCATCAAATTCAAGAAACTGAAAAGAAACTTATCATCATAAAAAGAAGTATGAAGGGGTATTGAGTGGAAAACACATGAAAAAGGTAATTCAAAAATCAACACTAAATGACTAATAATTACATCAATGCACAGTACTTCATGGACGTTAGGTACAAAAAGATAACATTGCTCCTTTTAGACTATATTATGAAAAAAAAATCACGATTTAAAAACGAATATACCAGTAAAGCGATCAATCACAGCTAAACTCACAAACTATTTCCCATTTTCACAGCATCATGATTAAGCAAAAGTACATCTTACTTATCCAGAACAAGAAACCAACATCTTTAACTACTGTCAGTAAAGAATTTGAGATTGAAACTATCTGATTTCATATAAACTCAGCTAAGGAATCAAAATAAAGCAAATGAGGTTATACATAAAATTAGATTTAATAAAAATTACACGAAATTCAACATATTTTTCACAACATCAACGAATTAACCATATACTAATAACTATTTCCTAATTTTTCAAATGACAACACTTGAGATAATCGACATGCATTTTTTACATTCGAGCATTTAGTAATTGGTATACGTGAGTATTGTTTGACAAAAAATATTCAGTACCAATGAATATCTTAGAAATGAGCTACAAGTGATATGAGATGTTATATGATGTAACGGAAATTTGAAATAACATCCCAAAAGTATCACAAAATGATTCACAAGAATATCTATAGAAAAAAAAAGAATGAAAGACAGTAAGAAGATATATTATCTGCAAAGAAATCACAAAACGATCAAAGGACAAAAACACGCAGGAGTTGATTAGCGGGATAAATTTCTCCCGTTCTCGGGCAAACAATTTCATCTGATGCATTAAGCAATTTCTCGATCGAATTTGCACCATAAACATAACCATTTGGTAGCATAAATGGCTCATTATCATCATTCATGGGTTCTCCCGAATAAGCACACATCAACCTATAAATAATATGCTTTTTCTAAAACGTCCTAGAACACCACCATCAGTATTCCAGAAAGCTTTCAAAAAATCGAGAAAATGTTACCACACGTTAGTCGAATGAAAAATAAAAGAAAAAGTGAATAAAACAGAACGGTATAATAATTAGTAACGTAAGCTGTCTCCGGAGATCCTCAGTGCCACAGGAAAATGATTTGCATTGAATTATCATTCAATAGTAAGACATTCTTCAGTATGAGCGTACAATAATGACTCATATCATTATTATTCTCACATAAAAAAATAGCTCAGTGTTTAAAATGTTGTGCATTAGTCCATCTTTCGACCACTATGTTTGTAAATACATATCCTGGAATTCATTATGTCGATTCAAATTAACTACATTATCCCTCAATAGAGGAGAGAATTAATTGTGAACATGATATTTAAAAATCGAATATACATAGCAGTTTACTTTGAATTAGAAACATGAGAGTGGGGTAAGTCTTCTGCAAGTTCGTACATGTCAGGACGACAAGTTGGGCAACGTGAATCTGGATCCGGATGACATTGTGGACTTTTGTAAGCAGATAATCCCATACATAGACAAGCGTTAAAAGATGAATAATCCATGAGCTAAATAAATAAATTACAAGCAATAATAATATATATCGATAACCTTATATAATAATATACCTCATGGTAAAAAAAACGATGCTATAATCCATCATGTAATAGTCATCACTGCACTGCTGAATATAACAACAGTCAGTCCTGTCAACACTGTACATTTGAAGTCTGAATCTAATATCAGCAGCAACTTCCTTAATTATTAAAACAGTTTTATTTGTTATGAACACTGTTTATGATAAATAACCTTGTATACACGAGCATTTTCCTGTCTGAACAATTCAATCAGCTGATCCCAGCGCTTTTCACTAAAATATTCGTTGTAGGCACGACTTTTGAACGGAATTCCAAAGCCAATAAGACCCATAACCTTCAAGAAAGGAAACTGAAAATATAAAGAAGAGTTGAATTATTTTTTCCCAGAAAAGAAATCGAGCATTATTTTAAGCAAACATCATCTGTATGAAAAACCAAGAATGATCAGATACCGAATATGGAATATTGCAAGGGAAGAGATACAAAGTTTCAGTTAAATTGAATTCCATTCTTCCCTCTCCACCAACAGCTATTCCCTAAAACTTTCTATTCAAATTCTGTCAGGATCAAAATTGAAGGACAATGAACTTCTCCCTCTGCTCCTCCCCAGATTTTCTCTCCGCGTATGTAAATATTAAAAAATTGCAATCTCATCCAATGAAAGAATATAGCGGGTTACTTTCACAACTTGTTCGCTCCATTGATCTTTCGGTAAGTTGGCTAAAAATTTTCTGGCATAATGCACAGCCTCTAGACGTTCACCTGAAATGTTAGTTTTTTTTCTCACGAAATCCATTATGTTGTACACATATAACAGAATTCAAAATTCAATGCAATTCCTATCTTTCATAGAAGACAACTTCTTATTTCTCTAGAAAGTTCGGCAAATCCAGGTAAGATTTCTAACTAAAGCAGCAAAAATATATGCGAACAATAAAAAAAAAATTACCTCGTCGTACCAATTCAATACAATCCTGCAACCGAACCGTGGTTTCGAGAGTGCTTTTCAAGCGACGTAACTTCGATCTGTTATCAGCAATCCATTCTAAGCACCGATCGGTTTCATGGCGCGACAAGCTATCTTCCACCTGCAACGGTTTAAACATCATATCCACATATCGGTTTCTGTGATGTACCAAATTACTCTTATCTGGAAAATCAAATTAAACAGTCAAGGAATATAAATTTAAGGAGTATTGAATCGGAAATTGGAAAGAGTTCTATTCACCTGTTTCGCAATCATGAAAACGGTTTTATTACACATATCTTCCACATTCGCCTGTTCAGCTAACTTTTGTGCAGTTTCAAAATAACCTGAACGTAACAAATAATCGATAATCAAGCGACTAATGCGCTGACTACGCCAAGTTTCTTGTTTCAAAGCATCCGTAGTGTTAGCCTAAAAATTAATGTTATCATTATTTATTTCGGAACTTCCGCTGATTAATTTAGAGGGAATCCGTTCAACGCTGAGCGCAAACTTATGCGATCGTCAAGCACTATTTATCTACAATTATTTCATTTATTATTTATCTACAATTATTTATTATTTCACTTTCAATGAATGCAGTGTTTTTTCAAAATGGACGCTTCTGAATGTCCATTTTGGAAAAACACTGCATTCATTGAAAGTGCTGCAGTATATTCAAACTCGTAGACTTCCTCTTCAGGATAGCATATTGCGCGCGTATTATTTTGGCCAGTGTCCTCACAAATCCCAAATCAGAGAGTATTAACAAAATGTTTAATACATGCATAATTCCCAAAGGAAAATAAAAGACAGATTACACTTGTTAAAAGTGGGCGATTCATAATGTCTTTAATTAGTTCTTTGTCTTTGACTATGTCATGTCTCACCTCATCTTCTACTGAACTACTTTTAATATTAAATGAAAAAGAGCAGTATTTTAGAAATTAATGAACCTGCTGCAAATACTTGACTCGTGTAGCCAAGAGATCAATCAATTCCATTTCCTCATCAGTGATTTGCTTGAATGTACCAAAGAGTTCTTCAAAGCGTCCAAAGTAAGTATCCATTTTTTCCTTAATCTATAATTTTGCAAATTTGAATAACGCTTCACGCATAGTAAAAACACATGCAGTAATAACAAGAAATGCTGCATGTATGACTTAGCAAAATACAAATTTGAAAAAATCAATCGATTTCATCTTCGCTAATTTTTTTATCGTCCTCTAATTTACCTCACTTTCATTTGTAATCTAGGGATCTTTGCCTATCTTTGATCCTGTTTCCGCATAGAACCAATAAAAAAAAAAAGAAACTTTCTGAGTCGTACATAGTATCCATTTTTAGAAATCCATAGAAATGTATCAGGGAGTATTGGAATGTGAAATTAAACTAAATCCTGCGATGAAATAATATTTTCCATCAAAAGGATTGTTGAAGAATCCATTAATGAGTTATCTCAGCAGAAATATTATATTTTTCATGAAAATGGAATATATGGAAGTTATGGGTAGATAAAATATTCATAAAACTTACTTCACGTTTATAAATAGGTTTAGTCCCATCACCTTTCATAGTTTTCGCTACCAAATCAGCACTTTCCTTCAGATAATGATTATTTTTTTCTATTGTTTTTTGCGAGGAACGAAATCTCTTGTTGAACAATTCATATGGTACTTTTAATGATGTATACTCGAGCGCTGTGATTTCATCTGGTTTTAATGGTTCCGAACTTTGAGCTAAACATGCGAACTGTTATTTCGACATCGTTCCATGCTATTTATATATCAAATAAAAACAAATCAATAGTAATTATACGAACTTGAATCCTGAGAGGGTGAACTGGAGGACATCACGGGCTTCCTGTTAATACATACACTTTTTTCCCTTTAATTCGAACTGAAAACACCAACACCTGTAAACAAACGTCAGCATTAACTCCGCAAATGTAAACAAACTGCGAGAATACATAGTAACCTCTTCTTATTAATCTCATAGATAATGACTTATTTTCGTCAAATCTAACCACAAAATTGATATTTGAAGCAAAGTGATGATTAACTTGGACATGTCAGCAATGCTACCAAATCTAGAAGTTCGATTCGGATCCGGTCAGGATAGTATAAAAAAAAAGCAGGAGCTAACAAGTACAATACAGCAATCCAACAACCTTCACTTGAACCAAAAAGATTTTCTTAATTTTTACTCAATCACTGAGCACATGACAAATAAATAATTAAATCGATCTAACAAGTTGTTACCACGTAATGCTTCTTCCATAAGAATTACATAAAAGTAATTCAAATTTCCACAAATTACATCGAATAGAAGAATAAGCACCAAAAAAAAAACTGTCAACCGGTACCACCGTTGTAACAATATCGAGAAATCCCGATACGTGACCGTGAGCAAAGATAAAGGAATACTAGAAGCTAACTTTTGTCTTAAAACTTATGATACTTGATGCAGCATAATAGTTGTGTTACAACTAATTTACGATAATATATACTCACAAACATATTTATACGAAATGAACGTGATAGCACTTCCTTACGTATGACTGCTAACTAACAGTACGTCTCCTAGACCTGATACAGTAACGTCTGATACTGTAACTCCTGAACGGGAATATGAACACTCCCACAAATAATGCTGTTAATTTTCTGCTGTGTACGTGAATCCAAATCATTATTATTTCAAAGTCGCTATATTATTTTGAAATTTATCGCTTAAACAAATTATTACAGTAATCTGATATCAAATAGATAGCGAAACTTTTAATTTATCAAGTCATTTTTTAATTTGTCAAATCTGTATTTGCTCTACTTAAAAATAATTAAATGCACTGTATGAGGAAATATTTCGACAAGATTTTGTGCTAAATTTAACAATATAATTGCAAGCATATATTATAACTTTACTTAAAACCAATTCTACAATCAAATAAATTATCTCTCAAGGTTCTATACGTTGAAATATGACTTACATGTAAACGTGTAAATTAATAAATGTTTTTCAGCATGGTTGAATATGAAATAAGACTGTTTTAAATTATTTTCCGATTATGCAAATAGTTCCAATTGTTGAAATTAAAAGGTAAGTGTATGATTTTATAGTGAAATAGGTGATTATGCATGTAACTATGGTGACAAATTTGAGGATCTCTAAGCAATGAAAATTTCTATAAAGCTTTAGCCTTAGTATATCGGTCTTTCTATAATAGTATATCTTTTGAAATTGTTGTTGTTCTTTTTATATGATAAAATTCATTCATTTAATCATTATCATAAATTTTTCCGTGTTATTCTGATAATTGCTTAAAATTTCCAGATGAGTAATATGCAAATGGAATACATTCTTCAAGATGATATCGCAATGGATACAATATTTAATCATACTGGAAGCACTAAACTACAAACTACAATAATCATTTTAATTGGATTATTTGCCATTTTTTCCATTCTATTCAATATGATCCTATTGGTTACGATACTTTTAAGGTTAATTCAATTTTCATTGTGAAATTTTTGATAAAATATACAAATATCATTTGAAAATTTGGAATAATATTAGGTAGAATTGTAACAAATACAATAGATGAGACGGAAAATCATACAATGAGGAGAGAAACCTGAATTTCCATCAAAATTCTATTAACACATCCCTGTTTGTTGTTTATTCAGGCTTATTTCTATGAGCAAAAGAAAAACAGACTTATTTGTTTTGGCTTAATTTAAGATTAGAAAAGAGCAAAATATCTGGTCTGATAATATAACAGTAATGTAAGGTATAATTCGATGATAACAGTATTGTAAAGTATATGGGATATGTTGTAAGGTATAAATGATATTTTCATTTATTTTTGATTTCTATTTAATTAAAAGTTACTGTTATATTTCGGCATTATCGATTGGTTATTTTTTTCAGTCGAAAATTACGCTCAGTTCAACTTTTCGTATTATTTTGTAATTTGGCTATATTGAATATATTTAATGTATTATTCGGTATGTTTATTCCAATGTTATTTATTATCAATCGTAATTGGCTTTTCGATATGACAATATGTCGTTGGAATGCAACTCTTGAACAGGTATATTTGAGGATATTGCTATAGAAAAGGCAGGAAATATTGAGAGAATTATCGAAGTATACGGAATATATTTCCAGATGATTCATGCATGTTTGGATAACATTTATCATGGGATGATTGATTGCTAAAATTGTTGATATAAATGATAAGATAATAACGATAAGATAGCTTGGAAGTTTTTCAAATTGATCAAATTACATTATACATTTGATTAATTGTATGATAAGAAATTTGTTGATGATCGAATACTAAGCTATTATTACATCTGGTTAAGACGTAATTTTTCATGAAATTGATCTATTATGGGTTCATTTTCACTCATCGATCATTGTCATCCAAATATTTTAAAAAAAGAAAATTGGAAATTAAAATTATCACCAAACAGTAGAAGGAATAGCATAATATAAATACAATATAATCTATAAATATGGTAATATGATAGAACTAAAATAATTTTTTACCACTATATTATTTTTAAATATTTGAACATTTTCCAAAAGTATTTTAAAACTTTTTCATATTTTTAAGCTTTTAGCGTTTCAATTTCTTTTCAAACTTTAATATTTTTAAAAATTTTCAAATCCCCTCAATATATTATACCTTGAAATACTCCAATTACTATTTTTTTCAACTACTAACTGCTAAAATGATAGAGGAATAAAAAGTGTTAACTTTAGATTTTCAAAAATGCCTGCTATTTTTTGCATTATTTTAATGTTATTCCATATCCAATACATATCATTTCTAGTTAATCTGTACAGTAACCAATTGAAATACAATTATCTTTAAAATATGTATAAGTTTATTTGTATAATTATAATCAATTAATCAGTAACAAAATGTGTTCTTGCAGTTTATTAATATGGAATTACTAATGAGCATAATGTTAATGGCTATTGAGCGTGCTATCATATCATATTTTCCAAATCAATCCATATTTAAAACTTGGCGAACATTAGCCTTTGTTATTATGCTATGGGTAATAAGTATTTGTTTAGCTATACCTATGCTTACACATCATATACCTGTAAAGCCTTCCGAATTTCAGTATAATTGTAACATCGGCAGGTTAGCCATTTCAAATTAATCTTTGATTTTGATACATCAAAAATTTGATAAAAAACCATATTTTTTTGAAGAATTTTTTTAGGCTTCTGTTATGTTAATGTTTGTCAAATGTTTAGCCTTTGATGTTCCAGCGAATCCTTTCTTTCTTCCTTTTTCCAGTACTAGGAAGCAATAGGTTAACAAGTAATATTGTAATTTAATCTACCCTTCCATGAGCCTAGCAGATGTCGTCTTCTAGACCTTTTAAATGCTTGACATTGGAAAGACAAAGGAAAAAAAATTTCTAAGCTCCAAATGACAAGTGCAATTTGCAGTAAGGCTTATCAGTATTTCAAAAATAACATTTAGCTTCGGTAAATTCATAGAGCTAATCAGAAGAGAATTTTAGAATAATTTCAGATCAATATCAAATCATCCTTTTTGATCATGAATTACTTTTCATTTGCTATTGAATAAATCAAGTGCAGCTAATTGAATAACTTGAATAAATCAAGTTTGCTATTTGAATGCCACCTGAATAAATCAAGGAAGATCTATAAAATTTTGAGAAAAAAAAAAGCTTAAACTATAATCTATTTGTTCGCATTTCTCTACTAATTGAAAATAATTTCTTTCATCAAATTTTTTTCCAAAATTTTGCTACTTCTTAATATTCAAATTGGTATATGTAATAGTTATTACAAGAAAAAGAAAAAAGAAAGTATTACTGTAACTAATTATCTTAGTCTTAATTATCTTAATTATTTGATATGAATATAAAATTGCAGGAGAGTTCCAATCTTATATCCGATAGTATGCATATTTATTTATGGCAGTTGTCTTCTTATCATATTGATTTGTTTCGCAGCGCTTTTGTCGCATAATAATCAATGGAAAAATCAATCACTAGGAATGAAATCAAATGAAAATTCAACATTTAACAAACATACTGCTGTAATTCATCATGATTATTTAAACCTTACAAAACTTATTCTACTTCTTATCATTTTATTTATCCTACTCGATGGACCATATATTATGGTAAATTTTTTCATTCAGGTAATTTTCAAAATTTTATTCGAATTCTAAAACTTTATTTGCAAAAAAAAAAGTGGTACAATCATAGCACATTTTAAAAATACATACTTGATTAGATCCATTTATGAATTTCACAAAATTTTATCACTTCTACTTTACTTATCATCATTTATCTTAACTTAATGATAAGATTTTATATTTTTATCTATTTTTTTCTTCAAATATACTTCTTATCAGTCTAATATAATTCCATGCTGTAGTCAATAAATTACTTTATGATATGAATTGAACAATTATTTCGATATTATAGACAAATATTATTAAATGTAATTCAACTATCCTTCTACTCCAAATTACTAATTATGAGTGATACATCCAGGTTAATGATTTCAGATTCGAAATAGTAATGTGATGTTGAAGGATGATTATGCTTTTAAAATACCACAGGATGCAGGTATAACACTGAATTGGTTGCGTTTCATGTATCCGACATTAGCACCAATTCTGGTGAATATATACTTCCAATTGTTAAAAAAAAAAAAAAAAGAAATCTTAATATTATTTTAAATAATTACAGTAATTGCAGATATATGCATCATGCGCTGAAATTTGGGTTAACATACAACGATGTATATTTTGTCGTGGATTAGGGACAATTTCGATTAGAAGATATTCAAATGAATAAGGTTTTTGTGATTGTTTAATAGTTGGATAATTTAAATAATTTTTTTTCCCACTAAACTAAATTTTCATTCTCATAATATTTGAAAATTTTGAGAATAATTTCATTCAACAAATTTTAGCATAATAATTAAAAATTTTACAAATAGTAATGGAATTAATTTTCTCCAATTTTCAACATTTCAATTAAAATATGGAAGTGATAAGCGACCTTACATGATAACGGTCATTAAGCATTTAGTTATTGAATAAGTAATCATTAGATATTTAGAATTATTACATCAAAGTTGTATTTGATTTTTTTCTCTATCTTTGAAATGTATCAGTAATTGAATTATGAATAAACAATCTTTGCAAACATTTTACAAAAAAAAAAATCTTAAAAATTTTTGAAAGTTTTTATCTTTTTCAAATGTTTTGCTCATTAAAAGAAAAAAAACTAATATTTCGTTTCTTTCAAATTTGGGTATTTAATTTAATCATTACTTCGAGTTTTGTGCTATGTAATATAATATGAAATAAATCTAAAAAATTTCTTCAACCATTTTTTCTGAAATTAAAACAAAAAAATTTCCTTCACAAACTTTATAGGTTGAAATAATTAGACAAGCTTCTATCTCGTTTTTGATATTCATTTCCATCTTAGGAAATAAATATTCTTTTCATAAACTGAATTTTCATAAACTCTAAGAAGGAATAACGGATCGAGCAAAAAGCTAAAATGAAACTTATTTATATTTATTTATAGATTTTTTACTTATGTGTCCTAAGATGCTAAAAGTTAAAATCACATTTACAAATCTAAATCTTAATCTTAGAGCAACATTACTTTTCTTGCTAATTTATCGATAATTATTTGCAGCTTAAAAATTTTATCTGATGCAGGTTATGTCAAAAAAAAAGAAGAAAAATTCAAATTTAACAAACATTATAGATAAGAAGTTACAGAAGAATAATTTCAAAGTATTTATGCTAATTAGTGGATTAACATTTTACAGATTCTAAGGAAATTACTACAGATTATTTTACAGATTCTAAAGAAATTACTACAGATTATTTTACAGATTCTAAGGAAATTACTACTGATGAAATTTCGATTGATCAACATATCAACATACATCCGAACAACTTATAACGAACACATATCCAAAATTATCAATACCAATGATTTGCTCCAATTGTTCGAAAGAAGATAAAAAAGAAAAGTGATAGTAATTTATCAAAAAAATAAAATGTACAGGGATGAATGAAACATGATCAGTTTTCAAATGAATCATCAAAAAAGCTAAAATAGTAAAAAATGACAAATTTGGCGAATGTGACACAATGAAGGAATGATTTCCCTTCAGATAAATGATATGATATAATTGTGATAATAATAAGCTTTAGTAATTCACTTATATCTTTTAAATTGTGTATCCAACAAAAAAATATAATAATGGGTTAAATGGTGAAAAAATATGTTTGAAAAATTAAAAACTTTACAATTCACATAGGTTATTCTGTTATTTCAGGTCAATGCCTAAAAGCTATCGAGAACTGACAATATGAGGAAATTAACTGAAATAGTTTGGCGATAGATAAAAAATCCTTGAAAGGTTATTTTCTTAACCTGAAATTAGTTTTTTTTTTTGCATACTTCAACAATAGAACCAAATTTTTTGCTTATTTCCATTATTGCTTGTTTTTTAGTTATGTCAAAAATTTGAATGTTTGTTTGCAATTTAGCATAAAATAAAAGCTTACATTCTTATTTATTGCACAATAAATAAGCAAAATATAATGTTAGCATATAGTTGAATAATTTATATTTTGAATAATAGTCCAGTTCTTTGATAATTTAATGCCATCCTTTTAAAAATTTCAAATGGATAATATTTTGTGATAAAAATTATATACGGTTGGTTTGTTATAGGTCAGGAATTATCACCAATTCTAGTATTAGTAAGGTACATGAATTGGTGATAATTTTAGTAAGGCACGTGGATTGGTGATAATTCTATTAAGGTACATGAATTGGTGATAATTTTAGTAAGGTACATGAATTGGTGATAATTTTAGTAAGGTATATGAATTGGTGATAATTTTATACCTGTATTACTAATTCTATTAATTTTTTGAGAAATATATTACTCAATTTCAATCAATTTTTTTAAACAAAAATTAATTAATGCAAAATCATTGATCAAAAAATAATAGTTAATTATTTTTGATTCCTAAATTTCAATCCACATTTTCACATTTCATTTTACTCTCTAATAATATAAATATATTCATGAGAATAGTTTCATTTCTAAAATTTCAATTCTCTTTGCTCATCATCTTTATGACTTTCCTTTTCCTTTTTTCTTTTTTGTTAAAATATTTTGGCATAACTTTTACAACAATGCATTTAACTAAAGATAAACAAAAATTCCGAAAAATTTTTCAACAAAAATAATTATTAATTTCATGTTAATTAATTATTAACGAACTAATTAACAATAAAATAGGTACGGACATTTTTTATTTGATCACAATTAAATACAGCAACAATTTTCCTTTCAATTAAATTTGTCCTTTTTACTGCACTCGTTGTAATTGTTAAAGTATTATGAGCCTCAATTGACCTAAAAATGCTTGTTTACTTCAAGGTTTTTTCCTTTTTTTTACTTTTTTAAAAGTTTTTCAAAGTTTAACTAATAGCTAAATGAATTATTGTAGAGAAAGAGGAAGATAAGATTGTTGATAAAGTAAGGTTAATTATCAGTGTTTTAATGCATCATTTGAATATTAATTTACCTTGCTCTATCAACAATCATATCATTCTCCTGATAAGCAATCATGCAAGTTATTTTGATCACTGAACTTGAACGTGGATAGATTGAATACATTGAAATACTTGATTATCCTATTAATTTAGTAATTACTCAAAAATAAGATAATATTTTCATTCCTCAAAACAACAACAAAAAAAAGGATTAAATTATTAAATGACTAACCCACATGATATTGGTGAATTGTGAAATCTTAATCCGGTACCATCAATCCTAATTTCACAACCTGTGAGCAATTTATTGAATGAATTTGCTATCGAAATTTGAAACTGTTCTTCATTAGTACTAGAAGCTATCGAATCGTTTCGTAAAAACTAAAACCTATTTTATAACGAAATTATAGATTGTTGAAAAAAGACGAATTCAAAATTAACTCTTTTGGTAATCTCAGAATTTAATTTTTATTAATTAAATTTAATTTACAAATAAACAAAATGTTTAATTATTAAATAATTTTGTTTAATTTTATCTTCAAAATGATTTTTAAAAACAAAATTGTTTCATCAACACAAAAATTCTTTTTAATATTTTTTTTAAAAAAAAAGAAATAACTTTTTTAATTGACAGTACGGGTTTCAATAGTGTAAGTACTTGTTGAGTGTAAAATCGTTCATTTGTATGTGAAACTTTTGCAAATGCTGTTATAGAAATATTCCAATCTTCCGTAAACATATCACGAAAGTAATTAGATGGTACACTGAATTCCATTTTTTCATCTAAAATAATTTTATACTGAATAATTAAGGAATAAATTTTAATTATATAAAAAAAATTATTCACAAATATACGTCTAAAAATAGCTTAAAATGTTTAATTATCAAACAGTTTTGCACAATTTTATCATCGAAATAATATCAAATTTTGCTATCAAATTATTTCAATTAAGCTGCTTAATATTTGTTACCTTAATAGTTTAAAAACATTCTTAACAAAAAATATATCTAAATTTAAATTTTATTCATAAAATATCCAACTAGATTTATATGGAAATGAAAATAATTAGCAAATGAATAGAATAATTATCATATCATTTCATTAGCATACTTTGTTTTGATTGTATGTTAAGCATTTTCTCGAAAAGATAAACATGTGTGATAACCAATCCTGTATAACTTGTTAAATCAACTTGGATTTGTGCATTAATTGTTTGCTCATAGAATGAATTGTTGATGATTATCAAATATCCGTTAATTGGTTTATCAATACTGATCTGTATCAATGTTAAACTTTAGTAGGAGTTAATTAAAAATAGAATAATTAAGAAATATATGGAGAGAAAGAAAGTAAACAAAAAAAAAGTGATAAAATTGCACAAGCTTCTTAGACATTTTTTTTTTGAAATATTACTTAAAAGTAATTAAATTTTAGGTTTTGTTTGATCAAAATCTTATCACATTTATACTAAACTGATAACTGATAAATAATTATAACACTGAACTTCTTGAAAAATCATTAAATTAAAAAAAAATATTAAATCCTATTTGTTTGTTTGAAATATTTTTTTTTTTTACTCATCCAAACAATGTAATTTGCCAAGAAATCGATCGTTCGAATAATCTTTCCGTAAATAAATAATTTTTTCAATAAAAATAAATGAAATAATTAATAGTATTTTTAGCAATTATTTTTTGGAAAATTCTAAAAATCCTTAAAAAATTTCAAACTTCTCTTTCATTTATTTTTGATAAAAACTAACATTTTGAAAATTGCTTAAATTTAATTCAATACTGCCAATTCTATCATCATGTAACAATGATAAGTATTGAATTTGTTGACAATTTGTATCATTCAATGATTGTTTGTAATTCATTGTCACATCAATATCAGCATCCATTGTTGCAATGATAAAATTATGAGATATTCTAAATAATTATCAAAATAATCAAAATGATTGATAAAAAAATTTCAATATAAAATAAATGAATAAAATCGTCCATAAGAAAATTTTATTTTCGTTTTTTCTTTTTTTTTGTAGATTAAAAAATTTTTTTATACTAATTAAATGATATTTGAAGTAAAAATGTGGGCTGAAAAAAAATCAATTGAAATAAAACAATCAATTTCACTAATAATTTTTTTACTTTTTTAACTTTAAAAATTTACTTAATTTTATTTTTTCTAATTTTTTTACTTGCAACTTTATTTTTTCATACTTATGTAACAATAACGAATTAGCTAATATTACTTTTAAATTGAAATAATTAATACTCATTAAATTAAATCATTAAATATCATTACTTCTCTATTCTTTAAAATTGCAATAATTAATTGATTTCAATAATTTCAATTAATTTCGATTCAGAATTTCTTTTTCTTTTTAGATCACTTTTAATATATTAATGATGAATATTACCATTACTTTTGCATCGTTTAACATCACCAAAATTAATTAATTTCAATATTCTAGAATTTTTTTTTTTTTTTTTTAGTTTTTAGTTACTTTACTT